GGGCTGCGGCTCTCCAGGACCGGAGTTCGCCACCGCTGATCTATATCTTAAAATATCCTGATGTCCAGTTTTGACGACCTGTCTTTAATCTCTCTTAGACTGGTTCCTGTTCTGGCGAACGGGATGAAGTACTCGGAGATTGACATCATTTTGTTAAAGGTTAGTTACTTCACTTCACAAGAACTTCTACAGCAGCATGGCCTCGGGTGTGATGATATCATTATCCCTGATTTTCTCCATGATTTTTAAGTATTCATACTGTCTGACCCAAGGCCTTTGACTCAGTCATTGCTGTCCAGATTTGGCAGTTGTCTCATCACACTGACCTTCTGCTTCCCGTGTAGGGTGACGTGGAGGAAGACGAGGCCGTGCCGGACAATGAGCAGGACATAAAGCCACGCTTTCACAAGTCTCGTACGGTCACCCTTCGGCACGAGGGTGATGAAGGCGAGGAAGGAGAGGAGAGTGAAGAGGATGATGACGATGACGACGACAGTCTGTCTGACTGGAATCTGCGTAAGCGTCTTATATAGGGCCCTATGATTTCCGTGATGCGGGAAATGCGGACGGAATCGCGGAATCTAGTCATAAAAATGGAGCTTACTGTATAACGCGGAATGTCACGGAATTTGTCAAAGTTTGGATGAATTAATCAAAAGTAGGTAATTACACTTAAATCAAATTGTGACAAAGGAGTAATCGCACAATAATAATTCCATGTTTTAATTTTAATAGTAAATCCCCTTTGTTTGCCAAAATAAGTTTAATTGTCATTAATTAAAAGATAAATTTAATGTTTTACGCCTTCATTTGATAACCAGAAAAATTTAAATGCATAAGGTTATTGTAAAAATAAATGTTAATAAATTAAGTTTTTATGCATTCAAATAATTAGACATGCTAAAAAACAGAATATAGTAATAATAAAAGATAAGGTGAGAAAAAATAAAACATTTCATGGGGCCCTAAACATGTAATTTGTAAATTTTTATAAATTAATGTTAGTGTATACGTTTCCTGATTTTAATTAATTAAACATTATTTTGATTAATAAAATTTGATTTTATCATTAAAATGGAGTCCAGAAAAATTTTAAACGAAATAAATGGAATCCAGAAAAATTAAAATGGAAAAAACGGAATTTGGAAAAATATAAAGCGGATTTCATAGGGCCCTACTTATGAGAAACCAACCTGATGCTGGTGAAATATTGCCTGTTTTTGTAAGCAGATATCAAGGTGTTTTCAGTGCAGATGATTACACTCAATGTCATGAATGTCAGTGATGTACAAGTATTCATACTGTCTGATCCACAAAAAGCTTTCAAAGCTTACGGTTACACTGGTGCTTGAAGAAACATCTAATCCTATGTACTGCATGTGCATTTCTTCTGTAGGTAAGTGTTCGGCGGCTGCCCTTGATGTCCTGGCAAACGTGTTTCGGGATGAGTTGCTGCCACACCTGCTTCCAGTGCTGAAGGAGCTGCTGTTCCACCTGGACTGGGTTGTTAAAGAGTCTGGCATCCTGGTGCTGGGAGCCATCGCCGAAGGTATGGGAATGAATGTGAGGAGGAATAAAATGTAACCCTGTTTGTGCTAAATCTGGCCTTTGTTCTGATTTGAATGCTAGAATCTGCACTCTGTGTGCTGTGTACTGCCTACATTTTAAGACTATGCAATAATTCATGTTTTTAACTGTAGTATGCAACATTGTGAAGTCATGTGACAGTTAATGTTTATTTAATTCAATTTTGTTTAGGCAGTTTAATAAAAAAAAGTCACAATAGCAAATGTTTTTAAAAGGTAAAATGTAAAACAGATGAACACTCGGTGGTTTCAAAGTTATTTGGATTTAGCGAAAATGGTTTAAGTCAAATTTACAATATTGCAGAGTTTAGTATATGTTTTAGTAACTATACATTAAACATAATTACAACATCATGTCTTATTTTTATTACTTAGGTAATTTCCACCCCCATATTCCATGCATACGAAAAAAAAATGTATGTACTATGCACATTATATACTACTGTTCAAAGATTTGGGGTTGGTAATATTTATTTTAAGTCTCATGCTCACCAAGAACTGTGTTTATTTGATCAACGGTACAGCAAAAAACGGTGATACTGTGAAATATAATTATAATTCAAAATAGCGGTTTTTGAATCTGTGTTTTAAAATATTTTCAAATGTAATTTATTCCTGTGATGCAAAGCTGAATTTTCAGCATCATTACTCCAGTCTTCAGTGTCACATGATCCTTCAGAAGTCATTCTGATATGCTGATTTGCTGCTCAAGAAACAATTCTTATCCTTGTTGAAAACAAATGTTTGCATGGAAATATGACCTTTCTGAACTCCTCCTCAGGCTGTATGCAGGATATGGCTCCGTACCTGCCGGAGTTAATTCCTCACCTGATCCAGTGTCTCTGTGATAAGAAAGCACTGGTCCGCTCCATCGCCTGCTGGACTCTGAGCCGCTATGCACACTGGGTGGTCAGCCAGCCGCCAGACTCCTACCTCAAACCCCTCATGACCGAGCTGCTCAAACGCATCCTCGACAGCAACAAGAGGGTTCAAGAGGCTGCCTGCAGGTATGTTTGACCTGCTGTTAACGAAAATACAGCCTCCAGATCTAAATAACAGATCTTAAAGTGTCTGTCTGACAATGTATGACTTTTGTAGCCTTTAACTGGTAAACTGGATATATTTTGATCAATTTTAGTGTTATTGTTAACTAAAACCATTAAAAATCATTATTTGGAATAAATCTTAAATAAAATAGATTAACGTCAGCTTAAACTGATTTCACTACGATGCCATGGCATCATTTCAAATTGTAATTTATTTATTTTTTAAAGAGTACTACAGTGACTAAAACAAATAAAAGCTAAATAGAAAAACGAACAAAAATGACAAGATCACATAAGAATTTAAAATTAAAAAATGAAAATGTAAAGGCTAATTCAAAGTGTTAAAAAATACTGTATTAGTATATAAATGCTTGAATAACAATGGAATTTAGGTATAATAAACCAGCTAAGGTGATTTGCTGGTTTACAATGGTTTAGCTGGTCAACCAGTCTCACATTGGTTTAACTGATTAGTTCAAGTCAGTTTCCCGACCCTACCAGCTATAAAGTGCCTAAAAACCCTCTTAAACACAAACCAGCAAACCACCATAGATTGATTTTGAGATGCTTCCCTGCTGAAATAACATGTTAAACCAGTTGTCTTTCAGTCTGGATGGTGTTTCTAAAGACATGTTGAGCTAATTCTTGGGTTTTTCCTTCCATCAGTGCGTTTGCGACTCTGGAAGAGGAGGCCTGTACAGAGCTGGTTCCCTACTTGAGCTTCATTCTGGACACACTGGTGTTTGCCTTCAGCAAGTACCAGCACAAGAACTTGTTGATCCTCTACGACGCCATCGGAACCCTTGCTGACTCTGTCGGACACCATCTTAACCAGCCAGTAAGATCACTGTGGCTTTGAGTTTTTAAAGATGAAAATGTTCAAGAAGCATAATTAAATGTGACTTTTTTGTCCAACAGGAATACATCCAAAAGCTCATGCCCCCTCTTATTCAGAAATGGAATGAGTTAAAAGATGAAGACAAGGATCTGTTCCCTTTGCTGGAGGTAAAGTAGTTCTGCGAATTCTGTGATATTCATACTTTAAAAAACTGGAATGTCTTAAGGAGTTTGTTACTTTTTCTTATTTTAGTGCCTGTCTTCGGTGGCCACAGCACTACAGAGCGGCTTCCTGCCCTACTGTGAACCAGTTTACCAGCGCTGTGTCACCCTGGTCCAGAAGAACCTCGCTCAAGCCATGGTCAGTCGGCATGCACACTTGTTTGAGAATGAACAGCCATAGCATGTTGTTGTTTTGATTTATTCTCCAGATCTTGATGTTTTCTTTCTGTTCTTGTTGCAGATGTATAACCAGCACCCTGACCAGTACGAGGCCCCTGATAAAGACTTCATGATTGTGGCCCTTGATCTGCTCAGCGGTCTGGCTGAGGGACTCGGAGGTCATGTAGAACGACTGGTCACCCGCAGCAACATCATGACCCTGCTCTTCCAGTGCATGCAGGTATGGTTAAATCTAGGGCTGTGCAAAAAAATCGAATGCGATTTTCATGCTCATTTCGTCAGTAAAGCCGGTTCTGTGATTAGTAGTAAATCTCCAGCACATGCTTTCAGATGGAGCGGCATTTACTACACAGAGCCGTAGATCACTGACAAGCTATGCAAAATCGTGTTCAAAATCACAGGCGATTCATTGCCGATTATGAATGCGATTTTGCGTAGCTTGTCAGTGAACTACGGCTCTGTGTAGTAAATGCCGCTCCATCTGAAAGCACGTGCTGGAGATTTACTACTAATCACAGAACTGCTTTACTGACGAGATGAGCATGAAAATCGCATTCGATTTTTTGCACAGCCCTAGTTAGATCAATATATTTAAATATATGCCTGTTTATATAATAAACCTATTGTTTTTGTTAAAATAAAGATTAAAAATGTAAAATATATATGCATAAATCTTTAATTCTTATTTAAAGATTTATGAAATATTAAATATATGTATATATTACATATTTTTAGATCTAATAATAATAATAAATTATTATTATTATTATTAATTTTGTACATGTATTAGTTGAGTGTTTTGGACACTTAAACATAATCTGAATTGACCATAAAGCCATACCTGATTATCTATAGTAAAATGTAGAATGATGAAATTAAACGCATTAATTTGACGCAGAAAAGCTAATTGTGTGCTGTATGAACAATGCCTAAAAGCTTTATTTCTGATCTAATTAAAGGACACCATGCCAGAAGTGCGTCAGAGTTCATTCGCTCTGCTGGGAGACCTGACTAAGGCGTGTTTCCTTCATGTGAAGCCCTGCATCGGTGAGCTGTGCCCTTTGACTCATACTGAGTGAAGCCTGACACATGGAGAGCTGCTTTCTCATGCTAGATGTTGCTTCTGTGTGTGTTGTGCTGGTCAGTTTGTCATTGGTGTCCGTTTACCCTCTCTAGCTGAGCTCATGCCTGTCCTGGGACTCAACCTCAACCCGGAGTTCATATCTGTGTGCAACAATGCCACATGGGCCATCGGAGAGATCGCCATGCAGATGGGTGAGTGTTTATGCACTCTCTAGTAGCCTACAGAACATTCTCAAAACAACCTAAAAGGACAGTTAAAAAGGGCTTAATTAAAAAAAAAAGTTATTCTAAATGGTACAATAAAATAACCTGGTATCTGCAGGATTTAAAATCAAATTTAAGACCTTTAAAGACCTTTTTAAGATCTGCACTTCACATTTCAGCCTTTAAACTATTTAAGAAAAGGGATGAGTCAAAAGTATCAATTATTATATTAATTTAAACAATTATTATCAATTAATTATTATATTAAATAACATATATCTTAGTGTCTTAATTGTTTAGATTTTTATAATGCATTAGCTTTTTGTCGATCCGCTGGTTCACATTTAAAAAATATGTAGCAAAAATAGCAGATGGGCTTATTGAAAAAGCAAATTCGTTCTCTGCCAGCAGGTTTCACTTTCGTTACTGCGCATCTAGTGGTTTCCCCGGTAACCGCAGTACACAAAGCTGACGTGCAGCGCTCAAGTTTATTCAGTGAAATCGTAGCCTTTTGAAGTTTAATCGTCATATTAATCCATATAGCAATTCTTGTCTTTCCGTCCCCAAAGACCTCTTATAATTTAGACTTTTTATACCATTTAAGAGTTTTCATGGCCTTAAATGTAAACAATTTAACTGAAGACGTTTTAAGGACCCGCGGAAACCCTAATAAGAACATAGTCCAGTGCAAACATTTCTGTCATGCAAAAAGCTTTTGTTGACTATGAATTTGACCTTTGAAATTTGAGGCAAGTGCAACTCTGGCGTCCCCGTTGTTTGTGTGCAGTGGTGTGATGGCGATTTAAATAAAATACAGATTTCCAAACAATCCAAACATATGGGTATCCCCTTTAACTTGATAAAAAGATAATCTGTTTACCATCTTGACTTGAAAATACTGTTTTCATGGTCAGTTTTTCATTTATTATTTGCTAATGTTAATGAATGTTTACATTAGAGTGCACGTCCTACTATGCTGAAATTAATAGGGGAGCGGCTGGAAACTAGCGACCTCTCCTGGTTGGAGATGGTATTAACATCATAAACTGAAAGCAATCTTTACGACTTGCTTTTCAAATGTTTTAAAATTGATCATCCGAGTCTAATATGATCCAGCGGGCCGCCAGTTGCCCATCCCTGATGTATATTCACTACGGCGCAGTTATTTGCATATGATATCTGTCCCGTGTAATTTTGGACAGCCATTTGATCTTTAATTTGTCTGGTGTTTTTCCAGGTATGGAGATGCAGCCATTTGTGGCCTTGGTTCTCAATAACCTTGTGGAGATCATCAACAGACCTAATACACCCAAAACTCTGCTGGAGAACACCGGTAAATTATCTGTGCAAAGTGTTGCTCTGATTTCTGTAGCTTTGACTGCAACTAATTTTTTAGCTTGAAACTTTGAAACACACTCATGTGTTTTTTTTTTTTT